TCTTGGTACTATACGACGCGCAAAATCGCCTCTGGAAATCAATGCGAGGTCGTGCAAACGATTAATTCTCCCGAAAGACAATTATTCCTCCACACCTGACGTAACGACGCGTTCTCCATTAGTGACATTAGACGGCTCCGTAGTCGATCCGTTGCAGAATTACCCTTCCATCGCGTTGCTGTTAACTTCCCACTTACAACTCTCCGCGCTCCCTCTAATCAATCCCGGCGGTGAATCAGGTTTGTCACGGTGTCAGGGTCGATGATATTTCGAGAAAAATCGACGATCGGGGCTGCGTTGCTCAAGTTTCGAATTAACAATGCCGACGCGTTACGTTCAAAAATTTCGCACATCCGCGACTTAATTTAATCCGAGAACCGATTAATTCGAGCCCTTCCGATTCGATTTTTAACATCGTGGGAATCCTACCGCCCCGCGAAGAGGAGAACTGGCCTGGCAATTTTCACTTTGTTAATTTTCGGGCTCAGGCCTCGAATATGGATCGACGATCGACGCCGAATCGACAACGGCAAATCGCGCAAACTGATACGATCCATTGGTATTTTAATAAACGCCGATGAAATTCCGAATGATGAAAATCTACTCGCGAATTCGCCGGGAACGATCGCGATGAACATCGGGGAAATTGGAACGAACATCGCGGTGTATCGATTCGGGCGAATTAAACTTTTGATTCGAGTAGAAACCCGGCTGGGTGAAACGCGAAAAGAGTGACGTCAGGAAATTTAAATCTCTGTATGTTGGACAGTATCTTAACTACGTGATGCTACATATATACAATTATATTACACAATATGATATATAACTGTGTATATAATTGTGTACACAATTATAATTATAATTAGCAATTATATTAATATTACAGTGTCTAACCCAATAATCAAAATATACTTATATGTACATTTAATGTTAATATAACTGTAAATATACATATATATATATATATTTTTTTTTTTTTGATAGTCAGATTAGACAGTGTAATAGGTTAGATTAGGCAATATATATAGTATGTATATAATTGTACATAATATATTAATTGTACGTACATTACATTTAAAATTTATATTAACATTATATTGTCTAACCTATGAACCATGAAAATAATTATATCATTCACTGAAAATTTCTCCTTCTTTCACACACAGTTGATAATTCGAAGGAACAATATAAATTTAAAGTTGAGAGGAACAATGTTTCATACGAATCAACCTAATAAATATAACGCGTGGTAACCCCATCTACGGTGTTGTAGAATCAAGCGGACTTTAAAATTTACAACAACTTAAAAAAATTTACAACAATTTAAAAAAGAAGACTTTCGCAGTTCCCTCCCATCATTTGTCACTTGTAAAACAAACTATGGCAAACTTCCGCCCGCGCGTTTAATCCTCGCCGTGAGAAATTAACAAACGTATCATTTAAAAAGCGTCATTGTGATAAATCACCGCGGAATAGCAAATTAGCTTATCTAAGATCGGACGTCTGATAGATGAGTTATTTCGAACGGCGTGCGAACAAATCGTTCGTTCAACGTCCTGATGGTGAAAAAGGAAAAAAAATAGAGGATCCGCTCGTATCCACGCGCGGTGTCTGTTTCCGTATCCGCAAACGTTTCGCTGACCCCGATTCGGTAATGCAAATAACAAGATAAATTACAGAGTGGGCTAGCTCGTTTCCATGTTAAAACACACGAAACACCGGAATCGATTGGCCATCGAAGACACCAGTTTGGTATCGGCGTCGGTCGATCGCGTTTACCCTCGCCCCGATCTTCCTCGTTTCGGCTTATTCAGCCGCTCCACGGTCGGTCCTCTCGAGGCGTAGTCGTGACCCGGTTCACGCTATTCAAAAGTTAGATCCGGAAGTTAACTTTACACTCGAGGGTCGACCGTCTGCCGGACGGGCTAATTTCGACGATGCAGCCCGTGTAATACGCGTACGTGGCTCGCCTGACTTTCGAGTTGCTGCTCCGAAAACGAAAATAATTAAAATTCATCGAAGCCCGGACAGATATCCGATTTCCACCCACCATCTGACAAAAATCATCGTCACTGCGAGTCGATCGAAATGATTTTCACGAGAATCTGTGTCTCCCGAACTGTCCCGAAGATTAAACCTCGCTTTTGTTTAGCAATCGAAGAAGTATCTCTCGTTGCAACTATTTCCACCCAGCCGCTATATTTTCTACCGCGATTGTATGGCTACCTCGAATGGCTATATCGTTTTTATTCCTCGGTACACGTTTTACGTATTAGTATTGATACCGATGATACTGATCGTATCCCGTTTCGATCGACCGGTATCGACACCGGTTCGGACAGACGGTGCACAAACGCCATCGATCAAACGTCATCTCGCGATCCTATCGCCCCTGGCAGAAGGGAAATGGATTTCATTGGCAGGAGATCGCCGATGTTCCTGTCTCTATTCACAGTCTATCTACGGCCGGCTATTATGATAATTAACTTGCAGTTTTGGTCGACTGAATGGTAATCGATATCGACGAGCCATAAAGTATTCCTGGCTCTATGAAGCGATATTCCGATGTTCAACTTCACAATGTTTATATTGAAGCCTGACCGAAGGTGATTTTCAAGCTTGCCACAAACGACACACTCGATCGCCACTTGGTGCGATGCGTTGGTCTTGTAGCGAGGTAATTTTCGAATGACACGATACTGTTTACAGTGGCGGACCTAGTTTCTCTTGCAATGGTCTTCTTTGTGAAAACAAACACGATGCATCGACGAAATCTACTTCTGTGCTAAATAGTTTGCTACGTGTAATAGTAACGTGCACAGCAGCCATTTCTAATAATGAATTATTATACGATAATGATACAAATAATATGAAAATTATTTATTCTTCATAACTCTGCATTTGAATAGAATATAAATGGCTCGAAAATGAGCGTCCTCTCCTAAGTACTTACGAAAGGATATTTCGTAATTTTTCTAACAGACTAAGCACTGGAATAACAAGAGCGTCGATATTTTAACATCTCGTCACACTGCTATGACTATTTATGGAGATAGATTTTGTTAATGCGTCATTCGTTTTCACGCGGATATCGCCAGGGAAACTAGATGTGCTTGCGCAATTACAGAGAAACAGATAAAAATGTAAAAATTGTAGAAATTGTTGAGCCAGTTGACACGTAAAATAATTTAGAAGCTGGTACTAATGTTACAGACATAGCCGAATTCTCCGTTAAAACAACAAGAAACGGAACTAAATGTCGACCGTCAGTAACAAGAGTAGCTCGTATCGAACCGGTGGCCAGGATTTCATTAGCCATTGGTTATTAAACTTCCATAACGAAGGGACGTACTGTCCTCTGTGCCACGGTACATTCTAACATCCGCGTCGTAAGTTGCAAACTGGCCCATAAATCCGGCAACGATTTAGCCCGGACGGAGGCAGTTTGAATTTTAGAGAAGCACGCAATAAACCACGTCAGCACGAACGATCGTCCGTTTCGACGCGCGTAACAAGCCGAAAGAAAATATCGCGGCCGCTTTATCGCCGATATTTCCCGGCGAGTTGTGTTTCCGAACTTATCTAAACTGATTAATCTTTCAACTTGTTAACCGGATCATCCTCCCCGCTGGAAACTTCCACGAACATCAATTTTAATCCTCGCGAGTGTCGGAACGATACAACATGCGAAACTAGAAAATTCATTAATGAAGAAGAAAATGATTCTGTCCAAGGGGATGAAAATTTCAGGCAACGAGATAACGCGTCGTCTTCGGCTAGCAAGTTACAATGGGCAACGTTAGCTAAGAAAATCGTGGAATGAAGGATTTCGAACGATTGTCATGAAAGCATCGAAGGCACGAAAGAGATATGAAAAAAGTGGATAGCCATTCGTTCATAGCTTCTGGATGAATGCTCCTGAGAATATGCCTGAATACTTGTCTAAAGTATTCGTGCCTCTATCGAGTGGCACTCTGATCGCATTTTAAAACATTACGGAACCGCACGATTCTATCAACTCTCTAGCCAGTTATTAAATTAATTAAATTTATAACATTTGTACTATAAAATCGCACTGAACAATTGTTTCGAACAATTGTTTGTTAAGTCTGAAGGTGTTGACGACACGATCAATCATTTTCATTGTTTCCGGTAACCGAGCCGGTCGTTCAAAACAACACGGGAGTTTCAACGAGTCGTAAAAATGGCAGCTGCCAATCTCTAGCTTCGATCCCTGCCCGAGGTTGTTCCTATAAAGTTGCCGAGTTTTCATTGGAACTCGAGTCACGGACTCGCTGGCCGAGTTCGTTAGCTTTTTTCTCGTCGTTTTGCCCGTCCGGAAGCGAAGGTAGATTCGTTTGCTTGCCACGGAAAGGTCTTATAAAAACTTTCCCCCCTTTCTTTCCCTTCGTATTTAACTCGGCGATTCGATAACGTTCGAAAGACGAAAGAAACGAGCTCGAACCGCTCGTACGTGGTGGCACAAACTGGTGCCGGTCTTCCAACGAAATTATCCTCTCGCAAAACGAATAAAATCAAGGGAGAGAAAGAAAGATGCTAGCAAACAACCGGTCAATCAGTTTGCCAGTTTCCCGATGAAACGGGTGAAATTCCCGTGAAAAGGATCCGACGATCCGACCAAGCATCTCTGAGGGGCTCCAACCACTTTTGCAATTCTGCTAATTCAGAGGGGATTTGGCCCAGTCAGCGGATAGAAACTGAGATGTCTGATAAGACCATTTGATTGGTCTTTCTTACTCGTTGCATCGCTAGTTTTGCAGTTTTTCTTACACCTCTTGCAACTCCCCCCCCCCCCTCAACAAAAGTGAAACAGGGCGTGTTTCGACAAACGCAGTAAATGTATAATGTCAGTAAAATGTATGTATGCATGCATATAGTAGTTTCTTACGTCTACTCTTTGACGAACGAAACTCAACTTATTCAAACCAGACGTAAAAAAAAAAAAAGAGAGAGAAAAAAATGAGAAGAGGATGACTCACCATTCAGCAGGGTGACGATGATCCAAAGAAAGAGAAAGGCGGAAGCCACGTGGCGTAGAGAATCGACGAACGGATAACGGCTCATCCTGATCCAGCGTCGATTGTCTTCCTCGTGCGTTGCGGTCATCAGGCCTCGAAGAAGGGGTAGTTGCTCGCGGATGGAAAACCTACCACCGTCCACTCGGGCCCCCGCGCAGGGGTGGGCTGTCTCTCTCGCTGTCGTTCTCTCTGTATGCGTCCTTCCGGATGTTCAACTCTTATCCGTCCAACAATGAACACACAACCCTGTGTGCCTCGCACGAAATCCAGTCTCTCGGGCACTCGCCGCGCCGGGCGCCAGTGAGAGACTGTTCGACTTTCGTGGCGCGCGACAGGTTCCCGCGGTGATTCGCGGTTCGTGCGCAGCCGGTTGTCCTCGACCACCCTCGGCTTCGCTCGACCCACACTCAGGCATCTTGCGCCCTCACGGTTTCCGCCGAGGCGGCTACGACCACCAACTCGTCCAGTCTGTGCACGTACACGCCGGCAGAGGCCTAAGTGCTCGCGCGTATACGTGTGCACTGGGGTTACGAGAAGCTCCGACCGCAGCTCAGGCTGCGCACCAGGGAACCACCACCTCTGCCAGCTCTCCTGCTCCGTTCCATACCGTGATCCAGGTACAACTCCTCCCTCGTCGCGTCCTTCTCCCTCGAACATCGTCCGTCTATCCGACCTCGACCAACCTTGGTCCACACTCTCCGCGTACAGTTTCCACTACACCAACGGTATCGCCATCGCTACCCGGTCCGCTCCCGACACCAACCAGCATCGAGCAGCAACCTCAAAGAGCGAGGGGGGGGCCATCGGAGCAGCCAGTTGTAACCTTACGCCGGGCGTCACGGGCGCAAATTAAATAGAGCGTGGCTTATGCTGCCGATTAGCCACCCTAGCTGCTAGAGAACTTCACGCCCGCCGTTCCATTCAGCTGCTCGTTAGGATGCTCATCGGATCAAGCGTTTGTGCATCCTGAAAATAAGTTTTTAACACACGTCGTCATCATATAGTTACTGAAAAGATTATCGTTCCTCGATTTGCCGCGTTTTTTTCTTTTTCTTGGTTGGGATCGACCAGTGACGTAGAATATCGTCGAATGGTGATCGATAAAAAGAGACGAAAGAAGAGATTGGAAAATGAGAAAATACCTGGTTAAACAAGAAACGACAAGTGAATTCACATCTGCGTCATTCATCCGGCCTTTGAAATGGTAAATTCTCCAAAGGGAGAAAGATGCCACGCAATTTCACGTGAAACGTCCAACCGTACATTGCCGGATGTCGCGTTCGAATAATGATTTCCCCCTTTAATTAAAATACGTCCCGTTCAACGTTGTATAAACATTTCTTATTATTTCCGGTACGATATAATCGCGAAATATTAATACTGTATCGATAATCGGTGCGCGTTGATATTCATGTCGTGCGCGCCGGTATGTATGTACGTATGTATGTATGTACACTCGTTGAATCGAGATGGGAATTTGATTTTACGACGTGAATTATTTTCCAAGATTTCAGAGCCGGCTTTTCAAACGTCACTGGCAAAGGTAAGCTCGATAATCGACAACGAGTGACCTCGCCTAGCGTCAAAGAGCGACAGGGATCGTTATCCCACGCGCCTGTTGGCGCGGTTATAGGCGCAAATTAAATAACGATCCTGCGTGCGATCGGCTGCTTTCGGTCGGCAGCAACCTGCGTTTTTCCATTCCTTCGCAATTGTCGTTTGCGTCGAGCGCGTATTCGACGTTCGTGTTTTTCCTTTTTTTTTTTTTTCTTTTTTTTTTCCTTTGAAAAAGCACGGGATTTTATCGTGCGAAAACGAGGCAACGTTCCGCCTTGTTGGTTAAACGTTCAAAGTAACGAATATAAAACGTCATAAACGATTTAACGTATTCCGCGATTATAAACCACGTGTATTCTCTTTAACGAGAGCGATGCTGGCGACAATGCAAAAAGCAAATTTGATGTAGTGAATAACGCAATCAATAGAAAACAATTCCATGATGACTGCTGCCTTCAAACAATCAATTGCAATGCGTTGCGATACGCTGTTTTTTTCCTTTATTGAAGAACGTATAAAATCAATTGGAATCCATCATAGAATGAAAGTGTGTTATCGATTTGATAAACCTAAAAACAAAAAAAAAAAAAAAAAACGAAAAAAAGGAAAAAAAAGGAAAAAGAAGAAACGGACAAAAATCACTGCAGTCCAGGGGAAAAGGTAAATTTTATAAAAATCGCGAAAATTTCTATATATTCGACGCACAACGCGGAAAACAGGTTTCTCCGTGAAGACGATTTTCGATGGAAAACGTCCTGGTAAAATCGGTGCGCCATCGGCTGACGTGACTTGACATAGCCGTACAATTATAAATAGCCACAGCATACGCGACAGATTAACCACCCCTCTTGCCGACGTTCCGCTTCCGTAAATCCTTTGGCATTTGCGGCTTTCGAGCTACGTGATTAAGTTACCAGTACTTGACTTGTGATGTTGCCTCACAAACTTTCGCGCTATCAAGCCCATCGCAATCAAGCCCCGCCGGAAGAGGGAGGGGAATAAGTGAAAAATCAGAAAGCTTGTTTTTATTATCGCGAACGCGCACCTATCTAACAAGCACCGAGAATCCTCGACGTACCTTGCGGTATGGATAAAATATGCATCTAAATAGATCGTGAAAACTTTTAATCGAGTTATTTAAGCAAGCCCGAGTCGGATAACCGAAGAGGCAACTATGAAAGACTTTTCATCTCTCGCTTCTCCGATTCAAGATGCCCGCCTAGTTTCTAGAACGTTCTTTTCGCCAGAAAAAAAAAAAAAAAAAAAAAAAAAAAAAAGGAAGAAAGAACAACTGCGATCTAGAAATGCGAGTAAATGCGAAACGCATTCTCCGTATGTGCAACTCGACGAGATAAAACCCGCGATGCCCGGTGTGTGTGTGTGTGTGTGTGTGTGTATGCGCGATTCGTTTATCGATACAGTCTGCCTCGCGACGATGAAAAATGGAGAAAGAAGAAGACGTGGAAATATATATGCGGCGGGAGGTGGGAGAGAGGCTGGTGAAACGATCCGGTGATTAAGAGGAAGATCATCGGGGCCGCATTTTGCGTGCTCAAGCATGCGTAAGTCCGAGGGCAGAATACGGTTATGCCGGCCAGCTGTGTCATCGTCGGCCAATGGATGGCGAATCGGGGTCTCTCGCGTTGATCTTGGCGGATCAGAGCGGTGACTCACTGCCGGTAGCTAGGTTTTCCGGTTATCCGCGCTCTCTGTGGCTGCGGATTATGGGAGTGTCGGGAGAAAGGCTGTAATTGACTGTGATTATGTTGCGCCGAGTAGTTGGGAAAGGCGCGGCGCGAGAGGAAAGATCTCCCTGCTGGTACTTTCGTTGTTTCACGATCGTGTGTGTGTGTGTGTGTGTGTGTGTGTGAATGTCACTGCGACAATCTGCTTTTCTCCTCTTAAATATGTTACTCTCGCGTTTCTCGACGACCAGAGTATAAATATTTGTGGCAAAGAAATGAGAGTGCAAGATACAAGAAGAAATTAACGATACGATAAAGAACACAAATTTCTGTTAAATATCACTCGAGTATCTAAAAATACGCCGTTGTAAATATAGAAAATTATAAATTGGTCATTTTGACCAATGATAGTTCTAGTGTTAATGTGTGCCACTTGTATTTGAACTGGAGGGTAATACTGGGAAGGGAGAAGCTTGAAATGGAGGTTTTGGGTAATGGAACAACCACATTTCTGCGTGTTTATGAGAGTGGAGATTAGTGTCAGTATTTTGATTTTAATTTTTTAATTTTAAGAGTAACAAGCCTGTTACAGACGTTGAGACTTATACATGCGTGTAACTAGTAGAAGGTTTAAAATATTGCTCTATTTATTATTTACTATTAATTATTATTTATTATTATTATTTCCTGGAATTATTCATTATTATTATTTAGTATAATTGTCAGTTTTGTCGTCACTTTTCAGTGCCTGAGAAAATTGTATTCACGTATAAATGAAGTATTACCTACGAAACATAATCTTTTATACGCACCGTTAGTATTGTTACGATAAAATCAAGATTGATCGACAGAGCACGTTTCGTATTATTTAAATTATTTCCCATTGAATTAGTAATTTCAACGAGAAACAATGACGATTGAACGTCAATCGTAGAAAAAAAAAAGTTTTCTCAAACTGCTGGAAATGGAATCGTAAGAATCATGCCGCGTTGAACGCGTCGAGAAAAAAGGAAAGAGTTAAAAAGCCGCGATAGGCACGTACCAACCAGTAGTCCAGCCGACTCGTCTAACGAGTCAATTAATTATCGGTAGAGTCGATGAAATCACGGAACACCGACTTGTCTCTTTTTTTCTCTCTCTCTCTCTCTCTCATTTGAATATCAATATCCCATCCGCGAATTCCTTCAACCAGTCGCACGGAGGAAGTGGAGGAACGTATCGGCGCTCGAGTGACATCGGTCGATCGACGATTGGACGCTACCGGTCCAATTATCCTCGGACAATTAAACACGACCGCTGCGAATTAACGTCGGCAGCTTGGAATTTCGTCGTCGTTAGCCTCCCACGGTGGGATTTACAAGCGTTGATCCAGCGAAAGTCGAATCGCGATCGTTTGGTTTGTCCAGCCAGTTTACGATCGCCATCCGCGGTCTCTGCTCGAGTGGAGAAGAAAAAAAAAAAAAAAAAGGAAAGAAGGAACATCGACGCCGAACCGATGAAAAAATATCGAGAAGTCGGGATCTTCTTTCCCACGGACGTCAAATTTTCGCTCGATTTCCGTTTGAACGTTCACGGCCTCCTCCCGGTTCAGTGGATATGGTATGTCCGAACGATCCGAGGGCGTTCACCCGTCACGTGTGCCCCAGGCTTGGAGAACTTGGATCCGCAGATTCTCGCGGGATTGCAAGTGTGTATCGCGATATACATATATCCCTCTCTCGGGGAGAATTGTCGAGAGAGTTTCTCTCCGTGTTTGTGCTGTGATTTTCTTGTAAACGTAAAATGTTACGAAACGTTGCGTCTCGATTTTTAACCGATCAGGTATCCAACATCTCATTTCCTGTTCTTTTTCTGTTGTATGCTCTAATATTGCAACCATGAATTCGGTTAATATTTCATCGTGTCTTCTACATAGATTTTACAATTTTATAGAATTGCAAGAAAGTAGGAGTATTATAACATCGCGATTAATTGTTGCATGATTCTCGATGGATTAACAGCAGAAAATTGAGCGAAATAATAACGAGGATGATTCAATTATTGTCCGCAGGATAGTTTTATGGTATATCGGTATAATATATAGATCAGAAATCTATACCATGTACAAATATCTACATAGCTACAAATAGCTACCCACAAATAAAATATAGTGATGCAGTGTAAATATGATGGCTATAATATAACTGACTGTTAAAAAAGTAGTAAAATTGTAAACTAGTATGAAAGAATTCATAAAATATGATATAAATGTACACGTATATAAAATTATATAAGTATATTTATATATACTTGTATAAATGTTATATAGAGATAATTACATTTATATTATATTATATTATATTATATTGTATTGTATTATATTATATTATATTATATTATATTATATTATATTATATTATATNTATAGTTTCAGAATAAACTGAAAGTCAGAAATGATTAAATTAGAAGTTTCATTTTTGAAAAAAAAAAAAAAAAAAAAAAGAAAAAGAGACACCGTGAGTATCTCGCAAACAATTTCGAAAGCTATCGTCTCGATTCGCAAAACAACAGCAGCCGCCATTATACGAATAGATTGGCAAGCGGGCTTTTTATTGGAAACTGATACGTCGAGCAGCTTTTTGCTAAAACGAGATCCATTGGCGCGGGCTTGAGGCGCGACCAGCCATGCAAATTGTTTGGAACAGTAAGCGCAACAAGAACGCACATATTCGAGGATCATTTGCGGCTAGCCCTCGGTGCCACGATCACCTTGTTTCCCCTATTATTTGTTGCGAGAACGATCAGGAGGGAACGATACGCGTAACCACCGACGTCTCTCGGCCGAGAGGAGGCACGGCCAGCCTCGTTGGCCAACGTTTTGCGGTAAATTAACGTCAAGAAACGCTGATGATTAATTGATACCGTTCGGTGATATATATCGGGCCTGCGTTTCTCGCGATTTCTCCAAATTAAAACGATGAAAAATGGATAGGAACAAGACGCGATCGTATCTCCTATATAATTTATACAAACGGCGCGATTAATAAATCACGAAATTCTTCGACGTTTCTCGAATCTCGGCGATTTGTAATTGTTAGATTCGAGGAATAAAACAATTATTAATAACCTTTGCCGACTGAAGGTAGACAGGATGTTTGTTTCCCAGGCTGAAGTTCTTACGAACTGCTTTTGCTTCATTTGTAGCGGTAGTCCATTCGTAATGGATTTTACGCTGAATGACATGCTGGAAACAATAATAAAGATAATTTAACGTTACGTTTATGTTCGCTTCGTGTATTAATTACATGCATGTCACATTAAAATACAGGTATTTCCTACATATAGGTGCGCACATCGCTCGATAAACACTTTAGCTTTCATCAAATAATAATATAATTTAACTCAATTTAATAATTGTACGATAATTAATACAAATCAAAGTTAAAACGTATTATCCAAATACACAGACACGAAGATACATCCCCCCCCCCTCCCCTCCCCTCTCCCGATTAATGTTATCACGATTTCTTAAAAGGTACGCCAACTCTTGTTTCAATAATGCAGATTCAGACACACATGCCAGTAACAATTCATTAAATAAATGAAATAATTAAATTCATTCAATCCATTCGAATCATTGGCAAATATTGTTAAAGTTATTCAACGTCCTATCAGAATCGTTCAAGTTTCATCAACGACGCATTAAGTTCGATTCATCGTTCGAAAATCGTTCAAAGAGCGGCTGATTGGCATTAATTGCGTCGGTGTATTAAATATATCGCGTCACAAAAAGGCGAAGCATATTTTCGAGCAAATCTCAGTGACCTTGGTACGGGAAAGTCCATGAAATGCTCGTTGGAAAATACTATCTGAAATCATACCGTCCGATATTCCCAGTTTGAATTGAGCCGATACCGAAGTACGTACCATCGATTCGTAACGAAAGCAATTTGCTGAATAGATATGTATGTACACGCGTGTTTTGAATGGGCAAAAGGGCCGGGCGTCTTGTACATTGTGAGATGCACATATGTCCGCCAACAGCAATCAAAGTGCTAATCGAGCTTTTGAATCAATTCAAAGGATACAGTTTCGTAGCGGGCGGAAGTTAAGACGAACTTCCGCTTTCACATCGGAAGGGTTATTCCAGAAACGAGTAATACACGCGCGCGTTCGCGCTCGCTTTCGCGAAATTCTATAGAACGGTTATATCAGAATCGCTGTGATGCAAAACGATAGTTTAAAACAAAGAGCCAATGCTCTGTTCGTCGATAGGAATTTTACACAAACGCGCTCGCAAATAGAGTATTTGATTGTCATGCCAGATGCGTGAAATGATAATTCCACAAAAAAGTATGATTGGAAAGGTTAAAATTCATACGCTATCGCAACAAATCGATCAAAGTGTCCGAGTGCGCATGAGCGTGTAGAGACTACACGTTAATAATATATTTAACGTTTTTCAATTACCTCGGCCGCTAGTATGGCAGGATACATATTGTACAAAAATGTCTACAACTTCTTCGATCCCCGGCATTTCACGAGTACCGAAACGTTTCGCTCCAGTGCACGGCAGCAGTGCATGTGACGCTGGAGAAGACGGAAATGGGAGAGAACGTAAATTCGAGGGAACGTTATTTCTTGAGAAAGCAAGAGAGCTCTCGTGAAGCGAGGTTTCGCACAACTGAAAATATAAGGAGAATAGATGTCACTGTACACCAGCTCTTAAATTTTCCAAAATTATTGACGTTTACATGGTTTACTACTTTCGATAACCCATTTTCTCAAATGTATTTTCACATTTCAATGATAATAATAACAGTATAAAACTTTATAATAATTTCATAGCATAATTTACAATAAAATCAGCAATTTTATAATAATCAATTGATTGCACAAAGATTTATTTAGTACTTTCCCGATTTAGAAATCATTTATTACAAAATCTCAAATCTTACTAATTTATCGAATCCATCATGACAATTATTTTTAAACTGCAACGATGAATTTGGATGATAGTTTGGGCTAAATTTTCTAACAAATAAATTTGTTTTCAAAATACATTACGGTCTTTCAAATTTTCAAATAACGATTGCACGTTCATACGTTAACCTATATTAGCATGCATATCAATTTCTGTATAAAACATGGTAACTTCCATTGAACGTGTAGCAAACTAAATTCTCTTTGAAATACCTTACCGTTTATTCATAAATAAATAATATTAGTAATAATGTGTTTCGAATCAGAATAATAAAATAGATTTGATAATATATTTTTGATTTTCACAATCTCTAATATGCAGCCCCCAGGAATATATCTAAGAGCTTTGAAATATTCGAGGCGCTCTCTATTGAATGAATGTCATAACACTTGACAGCCAAACAATTCGAAAATATAATCTATTGCATATAATAAGGAAATCTATAATCACATTCAATGTTACGACGAAATTTTATTCCAGATAAGGTGTGCATGTGTATTTACACCGCGAGGTAAAGCGTTCATTATTAAAGTTGCAAGTTTACTTTGTAGTGACTCGAATATGATAAGCTTTTCCCGTCGGTTGAAGGAAACTGCGCAATACAGGAAAGACGCGATGCGCAGAACACATTTAAATCTATAATAACGCAAAGACTTACCGTATCTCCGTGTAAAACCGTCAATGTCCTTTTGAATTTCGCGGCTTCGACATTTCCCTCTCAATCAAGCAACAATCCATATAAAATACATTTGTAAATGAAACAATAATCAAGATCAAATGCTATTTTGAAAACTCGTAGTTCGGGCTACCGTTAAACGTAACAACCAAAATGGCCGTTAAGAAAAAGAAAATACCACAATTACAAAAATTATAACATTCAAATAAATTACACAGTAGAAATGTACCTTAATCAAACGAAATTAATAACAGCATAATGATGAAACGATGTGAATGACAAAACGATGGCGATGAAAGTATTACGCAGTTAATAAATGTCACGTAGAATCACACGTCTTAACACTACGATTTCAAACACTTGACTAACCCCCTGCGCAACAGGTACGCGTCGCGAACTAATTTGATGGAGTGGGGAGGCTCGAGCGCGAACGAATGCGATTCAAATAATTTATGAAAAGACGAGGGCATAGTTCTAACCGCTGATATACATTTATACACGTCTGCGCGCGCTAATACGATTTTGTTATATCAATTTATTATAATGTATTCTCAATTTCGTTATATTTCGCTTTGATATAATTTTATTGTATCGAAAGGTTACTTTAACGGAAGATCCGATCTATCTTATAAAATTTTTATTCATGTCTTACATAGAACAAATGGAATAGAGAAAGGAAAGTTGTGGATTTAATTAGTTAATTTTGACAATTAGAATTAATTATTTTAACAAATAAAATTTGTAGACACTGAAACGTCAGCACCATGTAGCGGTGAAATGGTAAACTAATTGCTATATCTATCCTTGTTGCACATTGTTGTTCTCCTTCTTTCTCGCGCAACATATATCTATCCTTATCTCACGTTATTCCGTTCTTCGTTTACGAACAATGTGATACTGCCATCTATCGGATTTTTCTCGTTTATTCTTTCAGTTCAAATCGAAAACTGCTTGGAAAGCTGCAGCATCGCTCGTAGACAAGGAAGATAATAATATGCGACAAAGACAGAGTTCATTAGTTCCACTCTTTTGTCACGATGTGGCGCTAATGTTTGTGGCCAAATTTTCATTTGCAAGAAAAATTAATTATCAAAATTAATTCGTGAATATTAATAACTGTGTCTTTCTAATTGGGCCTTAAGCTTTTTAGTAATGTAAAAATATTCTTTAATAAATGTAACTGCTTGTTATATTGTTACAAACTTACTGTAAAACTCACCAGCCATATGAATCTAGGAACTTTTTGATATTGGTTGTAATCGTAGTTTAATGTTATTCATGGCTGTAAACAGAAAGTTTTGATTATAACCTATACTATGATTCAATTACAATTTAAAAGAAGAAATGTTCTTTGTAAACTTAATATGTTAATTTGTTTTTTATATATGTTACAAAATGTCTGAATTTGAAGATCTGAAAAATGCTATTTCATGTTTAAATAAAAGTGTCTCCGAGTTTCCAATTGGGGCTATCTCCATAGAAGATTTTAAACCAATTGAAGAAAAAATTAGAACTACACGAGAATCGTTGAAACGTCAAAATGCAAAATTATTAACACTTAAATCACAGTATGACTTCTGTATGTCATAAAGCCTATTGTATGTAAAACAAGTTTCGATAGTGTCAACGTTATGTTCTATCTCAATTTCAGATGCAACGAATGAAGAACCAGAGGGAAATATAAAAGACACAGTAACAGATTTACATGAAGCAACAGCAAATTCTCATATAAATAATGCAGTGGTTAAACTATGTCTTCATTCTTATACCATTCAAGCTATTTTAGAAGGCAAAGAAAGTGACAATGATATGCTAAGGTATAAAGAATTTAAAGATTTAAGCTTTAACACTTAAAATAATTATTTGAATATATTTTCAGAAAAATTTATGCTTATATGAGTAAGCTTTTTACTTTGAATGATAATATTTTGTTATTACAAAATGAAATAGAAGATGCGTTAAAAGTGCAACTGCAATTAAAAATTCAGTGCCGTAATGCATTATTCGAGTATAAAAGTTTTTTAAAGGAGCAGGAGGAAATATGTAACAAAAAGCTACAAGAAATAAATCCTGAATTAGTAAAGTAAGTATATATGTGCCTAATGATAACGTTAATGAAATGTTTATTCAAATTTTAATAAATATTTTTAGAAATAAAGAAAAAACAAATAAAACTATAAGAAGTATTAATCTAATGAAAAAACTAATTGTAAATTTTATTGCCGCTTCTAATCATATGTTATTTAAAAAACCATTTTTGGTAAAAATGCTAGAAGAACATAGAGAGTTAATTAATATTGAAACAATTTCAAAAATATCTCAAAATAATTCAGAAAACGAAGAAGATAAAAGCTAAATACTCAAATGAATGATATTTAAGTAACATTTTATATTATTTATTGTTTTTGTACTTTCGTACTTGTACTATATTTTTAATGCAACAATTTTTATATAGATTTCAAATAAAACATACTACAGTATTTTTTAAATAAGAACATTTTTACTATTATTGAATACAAATTTTTCAAAATATTTTATACCAAACTGATAATAACAACAATCTAAAATATTAATACTTCCTTTTAATGTTTGACAATAAAAATCTTGTCCGGGTTTTTATCCACGAATATTGAAATGATTGGAAAGAATAGGAAATCTTTAAAGCACGTTGTATATTATTTCTTTTTCCTTTTTTCCTATAGAAGAAATCTGTATGAAATGAAAATGCTTAAAACAAAATAAAAGAAACTTAAAAATTAGGTCTTTTGTATTCTCTCTATTTACCGCATATTAGTATAACTTGAAGCTTTGGAAACAAATTCTCTTTTTATGATATGCGTTGAAAAAGAGAACAAAAGAAGCTCGAAACGTATAATCAAATAGTCAAATTGCATACCATCAAAATGAAAACATACAAGAAATTCAGTAAGAACATTTTTGTTTGACTAAGTGCGCAGGCACAACGCTTATTTACAGGAAAAAATTTTCGCGCAATTTGAATGTCTTTCAAATTCTATTAAAGCGATTTTATCAGACGGTTTTATGTATATATACATATATATATATATAATATATATATATATATGTTAGTCGATAAATAACAATTCGTAAGCTAGTGATTACGAATTAAAAGATAGGATTTCAATCACAGCTTACAAGTACAATAGAAATGTATTATATAGGGGAGAGAGGTGCACATTTGTTGACGAAACTAATGAAATCATGTCATTTATATATTACGTGAATTTAACGCGTTAAATTTTTATGGTCCGGTGTGTCTTTCAGTCTCGTGTTTCTTCACCATTAGGATGCAAACCGCTCTCCACCCCTTGTATTCTTACGCTTGCTGGCGTAAACACAGAATTCATCGGAATAGTACTCAAACAATTTAATTTCTATGTACATTAATCTTCTTTTTTTTTTTTTTGTCTTTAATAGATTATTAGTTTCGTAAGTGGAAAGAAAACGAATCCACTAATAACAAAAGCACGTTAAAAATGAACAATGTCGTTCCATCAATATAATAGAGTATCCTCGCTCAAAATCTTTAGACATCTTCGTCTTTGTGTTTGTAGACATGTACGAAATAGACAAAATATCTTCGAAAAGCATCTTCGACACCTTTAAATTGTCTCTATAAATTAGCGAATGAAACAATTCATTAGCGATTTTCACACTACTTCTCTCGTCCGATTTTGTCACAAAGAACACATCCACTTCTCACTGGCATCGTTTAAGATTACGTGGTAATAAAATTAGTCAATCACTGCCGTTGCGAGATAGTGGTAATTACTGTAGTAATAATACAGCTTATTAATCGCCATTATTGATATTGTTTATGCATACATGTATACGTATATATAATTTGAAGCTGATATATGTCCCGATATCTCCGACATTTCACACATTTTAGCTTCTCGTGTTTCCGTGTGCGTACTTCTATATTCATTTTAATAATTTCTATTTACAAAAATTAATCGACGTCTGATTTTTTGCTTTCTCTTTCGTCATAAGCATAACGTCTCCTCCTCACTATATCGATAAACTTCTCAAAATTTCTAACGTTATCAATCACACTCGTTACATGGGCATACTATCATAATGCACATGAGCTGCCAATTCCATATAAATGGCAAATAATCGTCGAACACAAGCTACAAAATGCTTTAGCTTACACATGCTTAAAAAGCTTGAATAATAATTAAAAACGCACATTAACCGCATATTATCTAGCTTACGTTCACAAAATAAAACGTATGAAAAATTCACTACGGAAACGCGACACAATGATTAACGTATATTTATAATCGAATGCGTTTTTTTTTTTTTTTTTTTTTTTTTTAATAAAACGTTACTGACACATTCCAAGATAAACATTTTAAAAACAAATGAAAATTTAATAATGATAAATCTACAATTTTTAACCATTGCTTTACACAATAGAAGTGAAAATACATATACAGTGGGACATTAAGGAAAATCCCAATTCCATGCATGAGAATGCACACAGAAAACAATCAGGGTTAAAGAAACAATTGAAAGAAACAAATATTACATAATAGATATAAAAAAAGAAAATATTGAATAAATTTGTCAGTACATAATTAAATATAATAAATTTCGCTTTGTAGTAATTACAAAACAAACGATCGGGGAAAAAAAAGGAACGCAACGGAAACCACGTATCTTTCACGCATTGCTTTGTGATCGGTTCAAGTCTCGCTATAAAACATGAACGTGTGTCGTTCTCATAATTGAAAAATGAATAAGTCGCGAGTTATAGTGACTCGTTAAAAGCGAGGAAATGAAAGACACATACATACATTGATCTTGGTCCGATCTATTCGTACCGACTTACAAATATACAAATAATCGCTTTCAAACTCAATCATTGTTCTGTCGCTAATAACGGACGACTGGATTCATCATTAGGACGAGCATAACAATCCTTTCTAGACAAAGTACGAAAATGAATAAAGAAGAGAAAAAAAATATATATATATATATCTTCCAAAAACGGGACACATATTCTGGGTGTGACAGGGAAACATTTTCTTAATCGCTCACAACCATACTTAACCAGCAGTCAGTCGTGTTGTATTTAAAAACTGGTGACGCATGAAAAATCGACTAAAAAAAACTACAAGCTAAATTGCAACATAGTTGCAGCATAATCACGCCCACGATATGTGGCAGGATAGCGATATAAATACGGAGGCTCTCGTTTTTACAAGATTCACTCGCGCATTTCTTTTTTTCTTTCTTTCTTTTTTTGTTTCACGCATTCTCACTTTCATTCTCTTGCGCGTGCTCCCTCCTTCCTGTCTTCTTCTTTCACCGAGACACTCTGTTCTGTTTTGGAATTCATCACTAATATTATACCCTAATCGCGAAATTTGGTATGTGTATGTGTAATGTGCACATGTTTTGGGTGTATGTTTGTGTCGTATATGTTCCATCAAGAGATCATGCTTACAAATGATACTGTTAACAAAAAAAAGAAAACATAAGAGACATTAGCTCGTTAAGCATTCGAGTAACACGAAGATTCGTTCTCTTTCCACGTAAAGGCATGCACACTGAAGGACAACGGGATCTCTTCTAACTCTTCTCTTTATCCTTCTGTCACTCTAGTCACTACCTCTTTCACACTCTGTCATCCTTTTCTCCCGCTTTCTTTTGCGATTCCGCATTTCCGCGGTCATTCTCTCCTTCTGTCGTAACATTTGTATTCGCAATTCTCACTCTTTCACAAACGTAACGTCTGATTGTTCGTTCGACGTTTACTTGCACTTGCAAGCTTATAAAAGGAACAATACTCTCGGTGCATATCCAGTGGGAAGATACAGATAATAACGAGAGAGGAAATCCACAAAGTTAATAAGTTTAGTTCTCATCTCCATTTAAGCGTATTACTTCAAGACATCCGACGGCCAATAACAGCATAAAATACATACAGGTGTGAAGAAGCTAGCGACATAACGTTTCTTTGCTAGTTTTTTTTTTTCCTTTTTTTACATAAATCGCAATACACTTTTTTTCTATAACTTGCAATCTCTCTCTCTCTCTCTTTCTCTTTCTCGCTCGCTCGCTCGCGCTCTCACTTTCGCTCTAAGTACATCGAACGTTTCGTCGTCGGATGTGCTTGGCCATTAATTAATGGATACAACGTGTACGGGCACTCACGGTACGCTAACACGGTACATCGGTATGGCTCGGCAGTGGTACGCAATCGTTGGCCAGACTAGTAGAGAAGTTCGGACCTTCAAACGATAAAGTTAGTACTCGCCGTCTTCACACGTAGCAAGTGATAGTCTGTCGATTACATTGCCTCTTAATATAATCCTGCAAGAAGAAAAACACCTATGCTGACTAGCCGATTAAACAAATTCTCAATGTTGTTTAATAATTCTCTCTAGTTAGTCGATCGTGTTTTGTTACAAATTCGTTTAGTGAAGTACTTCCCGAATTTTATATCGTAAAAGAAAAACATACGTAAAAGTGTTTGATCTCTCCCTTCTTTATTTTCTTCATCAATTAATGATCATCTAATGGTATATAATGACATTACCGCGAGCAGTATTATTCTTGCCTTTGTCAATTAAACGGTACACTTATTCTTGTCTTTTCTAATATACTTATGACGATACATGTTTCTCAAGTAACAAGCTTTTTATATACCTATAAATAATACTAATTTACTGATAATATACAATTTATAAACAATCAGAAACGAAGAGAAAGACGCAGTTTTCCATGACAATATATATATATATTTTTCTTTTTTGGAAACTTCGTCAATGATTTTATTATCTTAATATCTACATCTCATTATAACATGCATCGTCAGGAAATTTTGTTTAATTTCTATTTAATAAAGAACTTGAGATTAAAATACAATCTCTTTATTAATTGCATTAACGTGCAAGTAAACAAGCAATGCAAGCTTCTCAATTCCCAACGAAAGTCTCATCAAGTAAAACGAATGTTGCATATTTGTAACAAAACATCTGATATACTGGCAACACATCAAGACAATCTTACTTGCTCGTTTAATCGGCAGCGCTGACAAGTTCCTTTTCTCCTTCGCCATCGCGCGCGTATTTTCACGTTAAGTATCTCTTCACTGCTTGGGTGCATTTTCAGAAACATCCACGAGGATTTGAACATATCACGTCTCGCAACGCTCTTCTTCTCGTAACTTCGTGGAATAAACATATTAAATAAGCTCTCGACAAAGTTCTTCACAAAGTAAGTGCACAGTACTGTATAATTATGTCACGTATAGTTTTTTTTTTACATTCTTTTTCTTTTTCTCTGGCTTAAATTCAGTTGCATTCGCATCTAGCAGGCAACGATTCGTTCCAAGGAAACGTTCCTGTCTTTGTTCTTTTTTTTTTCGTTTTTATTCTTTGTAAAGTTAAACAGAGACGGTAAAAGTTCGTTCTTTTTTTTTTTTTTTTTTTTTTTTTTTATTGCTTTAAAATCAAACCTATATTGATGTATATTCAATTACAAGCATACTTTGGTTCTCTCTTTTTTCTTTTTGTTACGCTTCTAATAATTATCATCGTTTAAACACGCGTGTTCCAAGAATAAAAAAGTTTTACTCCGAAATGAACGGGTCCTTTCATAGACGATAAGATACAATTTGAGAAAGTCTCCCGAATCTTCGTGTTTTGGGCAGAACACGGATCATCTGTGTCGAATACATATGTATAATTTTTGTTGATCTACGTCCTATTCAATTTTCACGGTAGACGTTAGAATCTACGGAGGAAAATTTGTAATTTCTCTTCTCTTTGTGTGTTTCGATATGTTATGTAAAATGTAATTTGAATGATCTCTGCGACGTATAAGCTTTTGCGTGATAAATTCACGGAAGGCATGAAACCGAAATCGAACTGCTTAATAATTACGATCGCTCTTATATCCCTCCGTATACCATTAACAATTTCAATAACCGTTTCAAGATCATACGAAGCTCGTCAAATGATATGCGATCAACTGAAACACTCTGATGTTTTGAAAGTGTACGCAGCTTCGTAGCAAAATAGTTCTCGATATATTTTATGTACAGTCGGTGTGGTGATTTCATACATATATAATCGTGTACTTATGTAGATTAACGATAGGCAGTGTAGGCGTAAAATAAAATTAGTTAAAATTTGTTAACTAAAGTACGGTGAGTGTGATTTAGCACGTATCCGCTGCTACCTACAGATAGCGTTAATACTGTTAAACTTCGTACAAAAATGAACTTAAAAGGATATAATCTCCCACAAGAAACATTTCGTTAGACACTTAGCGACAGCGAAACAAAAAGAAAAAAAAAACGGAGCATTTGGAAGTTTCAAGCGTGAAATCGAAAGAGTGATACGTAAATTTCAATTCGATCGTCTGTTTCTCGTGAACGTTGAAAGGGTAAAAAAAAAAAAAAAAAACAAGGGAAAAGCTAACTAACAGGATCGCGAGTTTGAAAAAGGAGCGCCGTCCTACTGAACGTACTTAAAACCGATCGGAGTCAAGCGTACGCGAACGTATTTTTACCCTTTCAGTTTCATGCCTTTCCAGTCGATCAGTCACGAGTGTTCTTTTTTAATTTTTTTTTTTTTTTTTTTTTTTTTATAAATTTCGATACAAGCAGGAGTACGCTACGCTCGTTATCCGGGGCTTTG